TAAAAGAATGCCCTGCTGTTTGAATGTGACATTGTTCTCTGGTTTGGTTTTAAATAAGGCTTTTCATTGTAGCTAGAGAGGGGAAAAAAAGGTTTTTTTAATGGGGAAAAAAAAAGTCATGGGCAGCTGTTGAAATCAAAGAGAGTGGGAAGGATACTTAGATGGACAGCATGAAAGCCAGGTTAACTGGAATACCATTGCAATTAGATGTCATCTCACTGGAGTAAAGCCTACTGACAACTTACGTCCTGTTGCCTGATGGAGATACATCCTTTTTTTTATCTGTGCTGTGAAAATGCAACGTGTACTTCATCTATGGGGAGGGTGGGGAGGAATCAAGACAAGTGCGCTGTTGTTGATGGGAGGTTGACATCATCTTTCACGGATATGAGGGCCTCTTTCCATGTTTTGTGGAGGATGGGGAGTTTTTTGGTGTGGTAATGCTGTTCTCGTCTCCATTCCAGCAGACACTCCCCTCTTAAGGGAACCTTTGGGAATCAGATGAGACTTCGGGGAAAGGGCAGGCAAATATCCCCCCTTCTTCTACCCACTCGAGCAGTCACATGTGACAGATTCATGCCTGCAGCACTTCTAGGTTTTATCTGCTTGCTAAATTTTATTTCCCCTCTGTGAGTGTTTATATTGCTTAGAGACTGCCAAGGTTCATGTTAATCATAAAAAAAAGTGGAGGTTTATTAGGTATTGCAGCTCTGTGATTTTTTGGCGTTTGAATGTTAATGAAGCTCTGTATGCTCTGGATCTTAGCTCTGGCATGGCAAAATATCCAGGGATGGATTTTTCTTCCCTTTTCTCTGGGTTTTAACATCTTACATGACATTTCATCCCAGAGCAATTTTACACTATGTATCATCATATGTAATATTGTGTCATGCTGTAGTTTTGCAAGTGCATGAAAGAAGGAGTGAGGTGAGAATGGGCTCAATTACACCCCAGAGGGAGGGGAGAGCTCAGTGGAGTGACCTGCTCCTGGGAGGTAATGAATTGGGTGTCAGCACTTTGCCGGGCAGAGGAGAATTTATTATTTGTAGGGGTTCAGTGGGCAGACAAGAGGAAAGGAACCCGTCAAGTCACATTACTAATGGTCATTTCCATAAGCTGTGCATGTACGTGGGATTTAACAAAGGAAGGGACATTCATCCTTGCTCCAGGCAGCTTGGTTCTTTCTTTTTCTGAAGGCTAAAGAAGGAACTTCTTTGATTTAACTGGCTCAGGGTGAGAAGCCTTCCAAGCAACTCTGGTGTTAACTCTTGGGGAAGGCAGACACAGTCGTTCTAGGGGAGGGAGACAGCTGACAGTTCAGGGATATTCTCCTTTCACTGATGCAGATGGGGAGAAAGGAACCAGGTAGATATTAGAGCCAGAGGAATCGTAGCACAGGATGTATGTGTCCTGCTGGTGTGCAGCTTGTGCTAGCCCTGATGATGAAGGCTGTATTTACTGAAGAAAGCTAGAGGATGAGTAGCTGCTTATTTCTCAGGAAGAAGAGGTACTTCCTCACCGAGTTATGCTCTGTGTGCTCCCAGGTGGCATCCAGTATAATTTCATTACCCTTTGTTTCTTCCTTTGCCCTGAGCACAAGTTTGTTCCCTCAGCTTAATCCAAGCAATATTTCTTTTTTCCAGTGTACATTGTATTTAGGGCAGAGCAAGCAAACTGAGAGCTGAGCAGTTCTTATTTTCTGAATTTCTAGCCAGGGCTGCCCTATAAGCATTGGCTTTGGTAGAGCAAGATGTACATCTTGCTTCAGCGCCTGGAGGCTAACCTCAAAGGGGACTTGTGTCATTGTCGTCTTTGTATTACTACATTAATTGTTATTGGCCTAACATGCTCCCCTGTTAAATGAGGAAGAGTTGATGAACACGTATTCTACAGGGAAAAATGCTCTTCCACACTGGCATGCCAGACCTGGGTTGTGATGTTTTTTCGGAGAGGGTCTTTCTTTACCATGTCTCCTGGAAAGTTTTGGCATACTTAACCCAGGAACTCTCTCCTTCTGACTATACTTTTTCAAAGGGACTTTTTTTTCATTTTTTCAGGTGTAATATAACTTCTTTTGGGGGCAGAAATACTGGTAAATTCCGTTTCCATCTCCATGAATCCAACTGAGACTTCTTCCTCTTCAGTACTGTGGAAAGGGATATGGCTTCCCTGGGTTGGGACCCCATGGGCTGCCATAGAGCTGGTCTGAAATATTTCTACTCAAACTTGCAGGCAAGTGTACTTTGAGGGAGAGGAGGTGGAGCCCATATATTCTTGGTCAGACTAGTTGCAACTCATACAACTATACTCCTTTTCTACCAGATGATACCTTTTGAGCACACCAGGACTTTCTTACACATGTTCTCTTATGAGATCCAGCAGAAAGTGCTTCTTCCTCTGCAGCTGCCTTTTGCTTAATTGACCCATTTTGCAGCAGATTAGGCCCCAAGAAGGAGGTTAATATGAGCAGTTATTCTAAAAGGCAGGTTGAGGCTTCAGTGAACTGTTCATCATTGGAAAAATCTGTTAGCCCCAATCTTCTTATTCTTTATTCTAACATATTCTGACTTAACAATGAACTTACTTATTAATATCTCCTGCTAGATAGTCTCCACACCTCTCTCTTTCCTGAGTTTTGAAGTGGATGTATTCAATCAGATTTAACACCATGCATGCAAATCTATCTTCACTTTTTCTGTTTGTTATAAAACAGCCACCAAAATTGTAGCTCTGGATCTTCCAGCGTTGCAGGTGGCATTACCAGGGCTGCTTTAGCTTCTCTGAGTAACAGTCCCAATGTGCTGTGTGAAACGTAGGAATGCATCTCACCAGGCAGTGCATCCTTCTGCAGGATTGGTGAGGGTGAGAAGTCTTTTCCTGCACTGCAAGCAATTACAGTGGCCCTTTGAGACTATGCAGGGATTGCTTATCATACAGGTTCTCAAAATTACAGCTGCTATGATGAGAAAAGGAGAGAATTAGAGCAAAATAGAGTATGAACCACTGAACATTAAGCAATTTGTGTATCTTTATTGATATAGCATTAGTAATATTACATAATATTATTGTTGATATTATATTGATGAATTCTGAGATGTGCCCACTTGCTGTTTATAAGCTGATGTCCCTGACAAGCCTGTGCATTACCCTGTAGGAATTACCTCTGCGTTTTCCCACTTCCTACTATCACCAGTCTCCTGTACATTAGTTAAGGGGCAACTTCTGCCTGTACCTACTCTTCAATTTCCTTGCCTATGTGAGAAAATAAAGAGGATTGTGACAGAACTGTGACAAAATGGTGGAGAAGCCCTGTGTGACTAGATGGAGCTGGAAAATCTGTGGCTCTTCCTTGCTAGGGCAGTAAATAATAATGTTTGCCTTTAGTACAGGTAGGTGCAGCCTTGATACTGGGTTGGGAGCATGTGTTGGAGCGTGGGCACATGCATGGTATGGTGGTAGCATGCCTTGCAGGCAGGGGTATTAGCCAGGGCCAGGCACACAGTCTCTGCCACATCCTACCTTTGTGATTGTCTCAGTAGATGGCTTTTGATGTGACCAGCGAAAATTTGCAGCCCTGGGCTCAGATTCTGGTGCCATGATTAGAAAGTGGGATTTTGAAGGAAACAAACTGAGGTTGTGGGTAGGAAAAAGCCTCATTGATCGCTGTCCCTGCTGTAAACCCATGCCCAACCTCAGACGTTTGCTGTAGGAACTTCCTCAGCGTGAGCTCTCACATGCTCATCAAGTGCAGGAACACTGGAGTCCCTTCCCCATGGAGGCAAACATCCTGCAAAAGGTGCTGGTGCTCAGTGCCAGTGAGCCATAGCAAGCTGGGAAGCCACCGCAGCTTTAAATGCTTCCCCTACTGCTGCTCCCACCCCCATCATCTCTGTAAGTGATTTCATTTGATTAGGAACTCTAGTTTGCATGGTAACACTGGAGCCCCAGGGATCATGATATTTTTTTCATGCCAATCCAGATCAGTGTGAGACAGCAGCCTCAACAGGATGGGTTGCTGTAATTTAGGTGGTAGAAGACCAGAGCCATTTATGCTGCATTTGTGGAATTACCAGCTGGGACCAAGAAATCTTTTGGGAAGGGGAAAAGGAGAGTGCATTTGGGACCCTTGCTCAGTCCTTAGGGAGGGCACAGCTCAGCTAGAATCAAGGATCAGGGCCGCAGTACAGACATCTGAATGGGGCCAGGAAACTTGCTGTTGAAGGAACTATTTAAGAGGGACCTGGAAGGGCTGGAGAGAAGGGAGCTAAAGCAGAGAAACAGAATGGTGCCACAAAGTAATCTGTTTGGGAATGAGGAGAAGGGGAATGTCTGAGCCCCAAAGAGGGTATTGAGTCTGGTACCTTCAACACCAGCATCTGCTGTTGGACATGCTGCAGGATTTACATGCTGGGCTTTGTTCGGTTGTATTGTCCTTTTACAGCTCTGATAAAGGATTCCCTTTTTCCCAACCTCCCTTCTGCAAGGTACTTGAGGCACAACTCATCCTTGCGGCATTGCCCAGAAGGCACAAAGACATGTGTGCTACAAAGGCTTCATTCTTCCTACCTGCTCACCTACTGCTATCAGAAAAGCAGGATCTCACCATGGTTAGCTTATCTGCACAGATTAGACCTCGAATGTGGACTCCAGCTGCTGGTGGATCCTGCTGGGCCAGCAGATGATGCTGCTGATTGAACAGCTGAGAGCATGGGAACACAAAGCCACTGAGAACACCAAATGCCTCAGCAAAACCCATACATTTGCAAGGGGTTAAACGCAGGAATGTGCACTCCTGAAGGTCTGTGGGGGAGATGGAAATGATGTGAGAATTCACGGCTATTGGATCTAGCATTCATTCAATTACCATGCTTAGTTAAGTACTGCACAGTGGAGTGAAGACTGCAGTCTGTTAGAATGGCTGTTGCTGTAAGTCATTTAATTGTGAGGTTACTCATATGCCATTTTAACATATGTAGAGTAACATTATCCCTCTTTTGTAGGTCACTATTCTCATAAGTCTGGCTCTTGCATTCCTTGCCTGCATAGTGTTTCTTGTGGTATACAAAGCCTTTACTTACGACCACAGTTGCCCAGATGGATTTGTTTATAAGGTAAGAAACTTCAGATGGATGAATTGCCTGAGATAATGATAGACTTTAATTGACTACATGGTTACAGTTCTAGTCTGTTTTTTTGACCAGGCCAAACAGAACATTTGGCAAGAATGTGTTGAAATGGGAAAAGCGTTATGGGAAATGTGGACTCGCATCTGCCTCCATCAGCTACTGTTACACTGTAATTGTTGGGATTAGCATTTGGTGAACACTACAGACAGATGTTCAGGAGCAATCCCTCATATTTGTGAATAGATTTATTGCAGCTGGAATCCTGAATTTCCTTCCCACACGTTCAAGTGACTGAGGTTTACTGGGGTACGTTTTAATACAAAGCAAATTCCCAGAGTGCTGGCACATGTGCCCTTCGTGAAAGAAATCCAAATTTGCCCATGTACTTTCTTTTTAGGTGCTTTAGAGCCCCTGTCAAGAACAAAACCATTTAACTTCACTGCTAAAACCCCACTGCTCAGTGATTTTAGGGTGAGAATTCAGAGAGAACTATTTGCCTGGTCTGTTGAGAATTAAAAAAAACCCCACAGATGTTTGTAAAATAATTCACTGACTCCTTACTGTGAATAACTCATAAACTCACAGGAGCCTTGACCACGCTGGAGATACTCTGTTGGCTGGAAAAGAGAGTGAGGATGTTGATTTATTGTGAATTATTCCCTCATTTAATATAAAAATGAAGTTAGAATCATGAATTTCAGAATCAGATCCAAACCTGAACTTCTGGAAAGGTTAAAGGTTTTGGACTCAGATTTCAGCTGGTCACGTTGAACTGGGAGTTGGGGGAACTCATAATGAGATAATAATTGTACCTAAAGCCCTTTGTGTCCTCAGTGCTACTTTGACTTCAGTGAATACCAACCAGTCTGATGTTTGTTACCGTATGATTGCTCTTTTACAGCTGTTGCAAAACAAATCATTTTATCTATGCAGTTGTTAGCAAATGAGTGTCCATACTAGTGCAGGAGAGACACATGGGCAGTGTCTGCCCAGACAACAAGCTCTGACAAGGGCTGGCCAGCTGGGCTATGCTTCCTACCATTCCTGACTGAGGTGGTCATCCTATAGGTCAGAGATAACACACTGCAACAGAGGAGCAGCAAGAAGGCAGCTTACTCTGTCTCTGCCTGTCCTCTACCCATCTGAGGATTAATTCCGGATGTAGCTCTACAGAGCTTTCAGTCCAGCATGTGTCAGGAGCTGCTCACCCAGCCTTGCTAGGACTCCAGCAAGGGGTCTTGGTCTCTGTGCATGCCAGGAACGTACCAAACCTGCCAGACCTTCATTTTACAGTCCCCGTTTCCCATCCACGGATGAAATCAGCTGCCATCAAGGTTGCCAGTAGCAACAGGTTTTGAAGGCTGCCGCCCGGCTCTGAGCATTCCCGCGGCACCGAAGGGCAGTCAGGGCTGTGCAGCAGACGCTCTCACTGCAGCAAGTCTGAGTCAAATGTCATCCATGAGAACAGCTAACCCCGTGGTTTTTAAAGTGAGAGCCTCGGGCCAATGGGATTACTGTTAATGTCTCTTGCTTTCTCCCCCTTTCCAGCACAAGCGGTGCATCCCAGCCTCGCTGGATGCTTACTATTCCGCACAGGATTCCAACTCCCGGGGCAGGTTCTACACTGTCATCAGCCACTACAGCATGGCCAAGCAGACCAGCTCCCGGGCTGTATCACCCTGGCTGTCTTCAGGATCGGTAAACCACGAAGCCAAGGCTGCCAAGACAGAAGGTCATTAAAATTAACAAGTGGTGATGGGCCAGGTGGGAGGGTGGGGGGACAACACCGTGTCTATACTGCATTGCTCTAAGCTGAGGGTGCTGTGCTAACAGCATGACAGGAATAAATAAAACCCAAGTGCAGGAGTCATCTTAATGGATATTTCTTTTCGTGCATTGTTCTCGTTGATTTGTTACTGAGTCGAGCTCTTGTACAAAGGCATGTTTGATGTTTGACTGTACCTTACGATGTAAAAATATTTTTAAATCATTGCTTAACTATTTGTTAGAAAAAGAAATTAAAAAACAAAAAAAGCAAATTAGATAAACAGCCAGAGAGGATAAAAGCGGCAAGGAGAATCCCGCAAAGCTGGAAAGCTGTGACAGAGGCTTAACATGCAGTGAAGGAAAAGCTGAAAGCCTTTTGAGAGAGGGGATAGAAAGAATCTGGTGCAAAGACATTGTGATGTTGCTTAGCTTGCCACGGGGGTGGGGGGAAATATTGCCGTCAAATTGAATCTAGTATCAGTGTTCATTTGCTGATAGAGAAATAGAAGCATCTCCTCCTTCCTTAAACATACACACATGGAAACACACATTTACGCACACCCCTGCACAGTGGCCTAAGTAAATACAGAAAGATCTAGGCATTCACAATGAGCCACCACTGTGCTGGTGATTTTGACTGGGCTCTGAGGCTGAAATCATGGTTGCTATTTGGATATGGAGCAGGATGGAAGCAGACAGAGGCTGCTATAGTGATATCATGAACATATTTCTGAATGCAGGACAATGAGTCTGGAGATCAGGGCTTTATTTCTGCTTCTGGCACAGATTTCCTGCATGACCTTTGGCAGTTCTCATGAGGCTTCATCCTTTGGGACCTCTCTCCTGAGCGTCACCAGCAGACATCATAGAAATGCCATTGTGAATTGAGGAGCCTCTCGAGAGTGGTGTTAGTATAGAATAGTATTGAGCCTCTGACTTTTCAGTCCCTAATTTTCCCTCACACATGAAATGGGATACTCTTGCTTCCCTCCTTCAGCTTCAGGTACTTCAGTATTTAATGTCATTCTAAGTAAGTGGAGAGGGATGGCTGTAGCATGCTCACAGAGTCCAAGAGTCCCATCAAACCTCTGCTTGCAAACACAGACCAGACCCCAAGCTTAATCCAGTCCTGGCTAGCGTAAAACATCCTCTCCCCACAAATGGCATGTGCAGTTAGTGCAGACTGGTGGGATTTAAAAAGGATTCTCCTTTTTCAGAGCTGCAAGGCATTGCTGCAGGGCAGCTCTGCTCCTTGGGAGTGCAGGCAGGGTGAGAGTGAGCAGCAGCAGCAGAGTGCACAGGGAGGGCAAGGTTCACATTTAACTAAGGCTGCTTTTTCAGATTTGTGGTAGACTGGGATGGAAATTAGGAACTGGCCCCTTTTTCCCCTGCATTGGGCAGTTTTGCCCTCCATTTTGCATACATAGACACTAGAGGGTGTTAAATGAGGGCAGAACTCCTCAGTCCTAACAGGCGTCATGATAAATAACTGTATAGTGTAGCTAAAAATGTAGTGCCAAATGCCATTGTCTGATTTCCTATCCTTCCTTCCCCTTCCACCTGTAAATCCATTTCTCACTTACAATGTACAAACCACCCCCTCCGCCAACAATCAAAACTCCAGCAAACCACTGAACAGTTTATAATTTTGTGGTGTATTTTTTGTCAGTAGGTAGCAGAGACTGAAGTATTTTTTGGTGTAATTCTTGAACTTTTCTGACGGGATTAAAATAAAGCTAGATGTGACTGAGCGTCCCTGTGGCTCCGCCAGGTTTTTTGGGGGCGACTCGTGCCATGGGCTGGGAGGTAGCGGGTGGGATGTATGTGTGCCTGGTGCTGCCAGGAGACTGCATCTCTGCATGGGACCTGGGGTGACTCTGGCTTCCAAGAGGCATTTTCAGAACTTGCTACTTTCCCCTTTGATGGCCTGAGGCTTATTCCGTATGTTCCTGCCCATTTTTCAACTGCAAATAGAAAAATAGTGGTTAAACTCAAGCTTATCTTCTGTTGGTGAATCTTGACTTTACAGAGGGACCTCCCTTCCCATTTTAAGGCCCTTTGCCTTGTCTCCTTTGCAGTCTGCTCTGGATGCAAGTGTTCATGCACGCTGGAGCAGGCTCTGTAAGAAGGGCTGTTGCAAAAAGGAGCCCTGCAGGGACATACAGCTGACAAACCAAGAGCCATGGCTGAACCTGGAAAAAGTTGAGCTCTGTACCCGAACTCTGCAGCTTGGTTTCTAACAAAACCACAACTGTATTCATCTCACATTGTTCAGAAAGCAGATTGTATTTCCTCAAATCCTTCAGCTCTTTGAAATGGAATGATACCCTGGCACTAAATTGGCTCATTCCCAAAGGCTAAAGAACATTTTATAAAAACCTTTGGATGGCTTTCCTTCAAAAAAAAGTGTATTCAGAATTGTGAAATTGAGCTACCGTAGGAGAGAAACCACTCTGGTGTTAGAGGTCACTGCCGAGTACTTGTGAAATGTTTTGAAAGGATTCAGTGTGCTTTGCAGAATTGAGTCACAGCATAATTTGACCGTGGTATTTCTATTTCCCAGTAATTCTCTAACCGTATGTTTACTTTAATCTAAAAAACCCAGGAATCAAATAATTTGAATTAAAAGGTTCTAGCTATTATTAGATAAGTGAGTCAGTGGGGATAACCATTCCTATTTAATAAAGATCAAAATCTGTGTGGAGCAGAATAGGAAAAAAGAGACCCAAGGAAGACTCATGGGAGAGTGAAAGAAACCAAGCAATTCAACTCCAGCTGCAAGTTCCATTACTGTTAATACATTGCTGTGGTTTTTGTTCAAGCTGCAGTAGAGCTTCCATGCACATATTTTAATCACAGTAACAGAGAGAGAGACTAAATTGAAATTGTGGTGCATGTTCTTATTTCAGTCTTTAAAAGCCTCCTTCAAGATTGATCATACATTTTCAATGCTGATCTAAGAAGCATATTGGTGATAGTACAGTCTCGTCCTGGCTGTCACTTCTCTGTGAAGTCTAAAGCTCCTGTCTGGCTCTAGAGAGTAGTGTTTTTGTGAGTTAGTGTCTGGGTGAAGGCCCAGTCTCAGCTGTGCATGGTACCAATGAACTGGAGCCTTCCGTGTGCTTCTCCCAACATTAATGTGGTGGCCAAGTCAAGTCAGCTCCAACCTCTTCAACTGTGACTGACCCAGCTAAAGCATGACTTTAATGCAACCTTCTCCATCATACTAGATAACTGCATTAGGCTTGGATTTTGAATTTCCCACCAAAATATGCTTGGGGACCACTGGGACTGGAAGATCTGATTTCTCTTCTGAGATCATCATGCCCCAGATGGGTGCCTGGACTGTTCGTTTGCCCTAATTGGAGTGGTAGGAAGGGATGAACAAGAATTGTGAGCACATGAATGAGCTCATCTAGTGGGGACAAGGGCATCCTGAACAGGCAGCAATCCTGTGGAATGACTGGCACGTGAGAAAATAAGAGCTTGACTAAGGTGTGGTGATGCCACGATGGGAACTCAGCTACCCCCAGCTTGGGAAGGCAAGGAAGAAGTTGTTGGAGCCTGAGAAAGATCAAGAACAAGAGAAAACAAGAGTGTTAGCAGCTAAGACATGGAAGCAAGCACTGCTTTTCTATCATAACCCAGTGACCCTAAAGCACTATATCCTGCTTGACTAATACAGACTGTCTTGTCTGGGAAAAGCTGCCCATTGTTGCTATAAACATCTGCCGACTGCAGCGTGCCTTGAGGGGAGCGGCTCCAGCGCTGATTCAAATCCTCTTGGACTGCCTGCAAAATCCATGTGAGAAAAGGAGGTGCCGATGGCAGGACCCCGTGGCTGGCAGGGCACACTGCTGGTGAAAACAGACATGTTTGTCCAGGGTCTTGGATGTGACTTGGTGCTTGGATCCGTGCTAGAAAGACAGCTCAAGGCTCTGCCAGTGCCTCTGTTACAGGACTGGAAAAGAAACAGTCCCTGTCTGTTTGCATGTGACTTTTTCCCCCCCTTTATCCTCCTCCGTGCTTGCCAGCTGTTTCTGGTTTGTAATAATACCTCAAGTGATAAGTGTAAGGGTCGTGCACTGAACTGTCTACAATCACATTTGATACGATTAGTCAGGGTTTTTTTAAGCACCCTAATTATTACAGTCAAGCCGGATTAAGCTCTCCCTTTAATAGATTTTCAGTTCCTGCAAAATAGGCCAGAGAAAATGACCTACAAGTAGGGATGGGGGAAGGGAAGGCTCTTTCCTTTTGTCTTTTTGGCCTTTGCTTTTTCAAATGCCGGCTGTGGCAGGAGCGTTACAGGGATCCCACTGAGAGCATTGGATAAGGGCCCAGTGGTCAAGGGTCTCTGGTACTCAGCTCCCCTTCTCACCGGACTGGTACCCTTTGAAGGGCAAAAAAGTTAAAATCCTTTTGATTGAGAACACCACTTCACCTGGCAGGGTGGATGACAAGTCATTTGATGGGTTGTAGGTTGCTCCATCATGGAAAATAATCCATGAAAAGTTAAAGCACAGGATGGTGATAAATGCTGCGGCATTATGCCTGAACCAGTCGTTACCGGCAAAGGCTGTTCAGGATTAGTGCTGAAGAGGCTTTTGTCCTGCAGTAGGCAGACTGTGAATGGTAAAAGCAGAGCAAGAGGAAATGGAAGAGCCTCTTAACAGCACGTTACACACTTCATCCTGGCATGGCCATTGTCCTGCCCTGCTCTGACCTGGCGGGATTGACTGAGCCTGAGCCCGCAGCCATGGCAGGACCCATCTGGGAATGTGCATCGCTCCCCTCTGCCGAAGGCGCCTGCCTGCATGGAGGGGCTGCTGCAGCTGCCATCAGAGCGCAGGGGAGGGAGGTCAGGTACAGGATGCCCCGTGGCTTCCCGTGCTGGTAATACAAAGCGTTATTACCTGTGGTGTGAGCAGTAATGAAAACGCTGCAAACCGAGGCAGCCATTAATAAAATATTGACACCACTCGGGCAGCGGCAGTTTAGCCGACTCGCGTGCTGAGGCTTCCCCATGGCAATCGGTGATTGATGGTGACGTTATTACTTACTGCTCCCCTGCCCTCCTCCATTGCATGGCTTATTGAAGGCCAGCATTCGCCAGCTGCAAATAGCCAAGGGAAATTGAGCCCTTCACAATCCCAGGGGTTAAGAAGAGCTCAAGTCATGCTTATGTGGGGCTGCGAAGTCACAGCAAGCCCCACTTTCCTCTAGAGCCCGTAGGTCTGTGCCAGCAGGTTGCTTTAAGCAGCCACACAGTGCAAATCCGAGGGAGGTACTGTCTGCTGGAGCAAGAGCAGTGATGCCCAGCACCAATGCAGCTTGCGCCAGCAGCTTCCCATGCACTGATTAAGGCAGTGGCAGCACCAGGTGTCTGCAGGCTCCACCGCTACCATCTCCCTTGGACAACCCAAAACTTCAAGCTCCCAAACCATTACAGTCACTAGATATCTTCTCCACAAGCTGCTTTGCAGGCCTTTGGGTG